AAGAGAAGAATGGTCTGTATAGTCAAACCTTGAATGTTCAATCCACAGGGCGGCATTTGCATGTCATTTTCTTCTTTGTACACGCAGCCCCACATGTGTAACAGAACTTGTGGTTGCAATGTCTGTGAGGAATAAAAAAGACAGATAATTAGAGTCAAAGACAAATAATATAAAATCAGTCTCAATAACGAATGTCCAATACCTGCAGGTAATGCGTTTGCACCCGCCATTTTGTTGAACGACGGTCGCACACTGGGGACACTTCATCCATCCCTGTGTCTTCACTAAAGACTCGAAAAGCGCCGCGTCAGATGTCAGGTAAGACTCTGACTTCTTGAACTCATCGCACGTCTTCTTGTAGTGCCATGGAACATGGCATTTTTTGCAGAAACACAAGCCGCACTCCACGCACTTGCGTGCTACTGACTTCTGCCGAGGATCAATGGAGTAGCCCAGCGCGAGGTCGCGGTCCGACATCAAAAAGTTACAAGAAGGCTTGGGACAATAGACTCTATCTAAAATGGGGATCGCCTTCTCTTTCTTGCGGTGGATCATAAGATTAATAGCATCATCATCAACAATACCTCTACAATCCTCTAGCACAAGTTCTTTCTTGCAATCCGGGTAAGGGCAGAGTACTGTGTCCCCTCGTGCTAGTTCGGATGAGACACAGTCCCTTATGCACGTATAGCAGATACGGTGGAAGCAACCGCTCACCTCAAGTTTGTCACGAGGTGAAACGTGTGCATAGCAGGCTGGACAAGTCTCATACTCGGTGTTGGTGTCACCGTCACGCCATCTGGTTTGGGAAGCTATAGCATCTCTTGCGAGCTTAATGACAGAATTGATGTCTCTGCGCGCAGCGAGTGCCTGGCAAGACGTGAATCTTGTCTGAAGAAGAACCACTTTCTCCAAAAGTGTTGCTACAATGGACTCGTTTGGTGCAGCTTTATGTGTTAACTGTTAAACATAGAAAGCACACGTAGAAAAACCATCTGAATAACACAGATACACACAGGATATTGTATGTCAGATTCAAGAGAAAAGAAGAGACAACTTACGTAATCCAAGATCATGGAATCATCACAGAAGAATTGGATACTTTCCACACCAAGTTCCAACGCCCATTTCAGCCCATAAATTATGGCAGCCAATTCCGCAGCTTCAGGGTGCGCCAACAGCACTCTGTTTCTCAGAGCTTTGTTAGTCTCCCATTTCGAGTTATCGTTCGAGTCACAAAGGGACAGACCTGAACCACCGACCAGCATTGTATCATCCTTAATAAGCTCTTCACTCACCAAACACTTGGAGTATAAGCGATAGGTATGAGTTTTGGTTGAGGATTCTCCGCCAGGTTGTGGTTTAGGATTCTCCAAGGAAACAAGATCAAGCTTCTGCCTCGCCAATTCCAAGTCATTATCCATTGCCGGCCCATAATTTGTGTAGGAAAACAAAACAAAAGTAATTAACATGTGTGGCAATTAGTGGTTGG